CCCACCAGCACTCCCCCGCTCGTCGGGACCAGATTTCTTGGTGCCGTGCACGCGGGCGGGGAGAAGGGTACGGGGGTGGCGCGGTGTGGGGGGGGTGGGGGGGGGGGGGGGGGGGGCGGGGGGTTACTTGGGTTCATTTTTGCTGGGTATGTGCCGCTGGCCTCTCAAAACCGCTACCCCATTATAGTCTATTCTGTGGCCAAATATAGACCCTATCTTAGTCACTTTTGGGAAAATGTAGTTTTGGCGATCCCAAGTTAGTAACTTTCTGTTTGTGCATCTACTATAATTTGACACATTGGTTAAACTTAATGAAGTAAAAATCTTCCCATTTTTAAATACCTAGCTACCTGAATTTTCTGATCCCCCAAATCCCGAAAATGTGCGATCCCATTCTAGTAACTCTAATGAAAATGCAACCCCATTATAGTCAATCCAGCCGTGAAAATGCGACCCCATCAGGCGGCATATCCCATTAGCCCACTGCTAGGAAGTATACCCCCAGCCCGGGCTATTGAGCACTCTGGCAGCAGTTCCGGCAACGACTGAAATCAAGTATTTCCTAGGAATATAGGTGAATGATTTGCAAAGAAGCCTAAGAGCTTGCTGACCGTAATTCACAACGTAACTCTAAATTTTTAGGTAAAAAGAAACGAAAACTCTAACAAACTCATTAGCACCAGATTACAATGTTAAAGTACGGAACATTTATCTGTTCTCCGATTCATTTGGCTTAAAAACGTGAGAAATTACTGACTCGTCATTATACTCTAATCCGAACGCTGAAGTTAAAATTGAATCAGCCAGTGGAATTAAAAAGTTTGAATTAAAGAGCTCGCCAAACCTTTTACCGTTAATGAAAATTAGAGCAACAAAGTGCGGGTAAACGTTTTATTTTCGCATCAGATTCAAGTCTACCACTCTTCTTAAAAACTTCGACAGATTTCACTCGATAGAATGTTCCAAGATTTTGAGGCCTTGAATCGTTACTAAGCTGATAGCCATACTGTATTGTCTAGTGCTTTTAATTTCTAAGCGTTTTATAGGCTTTGGCCTCTCCTTAAGTAATTAGCCGTAATTACTGATCACAGTGACATAAAGATAGGTTGGACCATTCATTTACGTCATCATTGTGGTCATTTACGTCATCAATATATTCCTTCGCGCGTCATTCGAGTGTAGGAGAAGTATACCCCAAAAAATATTGGGGGTAGTGGGTTGGGAAGTGATAAAAAGGTAAATTACTAAAGGAATCGGCCCATAGAAAATACTGACATGTGGTAAAATTTCTGGCTTTGTTTTTTTACTCCTGTGCCAGGATGAAAAATCACGACAGCAATGTTAAAACTGCCACTTTATGGCATCAAACTTAAGGCTTCCCCGTACCTACCCCTTCTATGTTTGCATATCACGCGATGGTCACGCGCGACTTGCAGCGCGAAAGTTCTCTGACAGAGCGATCATCGATTTGCATTTCACTTATGTACAGCTGTATTAATATTCTGGTCTGTATTGCACCTTGAACAGTTTAGAAGCAACTTTAGGAAGACATTTCTATCTTCATCTTTGACCAAATATGAAAGGACGAGTCATAATATTTTCCATCACTGGTTGCCCCTTTTGCATGCGAGCCAAGGACAAGATGCAAAAACTTGGCATAGAATACATCGATATCAACTTGGACAATTATCCCGAGCGAAGGGCCGAAGCAAAGGAAAAATCAGGAAGAAATACCGTACCACAAATATTCTTTAATAACCGACATATTGGTGGCTTCGACGACTTCGATAAATTGGTAAGAAAATATATTAGAGCTACTCTGACGTTATTAGACTGTCGATAGGATGTTTCGACTTTCGTGCAGTGCAAGTTGTTTGCAGCTAAGTTCAACTTATTTATTTAAGGTTGTTCAAGCATCACAGTTTAAACCAAAATGGAAAAGTTGTCGTTCGATTATGAAGCTGGAGTTTATTTCAAAAAATGGCGTGTATATGTAACTCTTCTAAGTTCACTTGTATACACTTTTTCTCTATAAAGGGAAAAGGATATTTACAGGGTGTTTGCTATGACATCAATAAATACATAAGAGGTATAAGCTTAAGCTCATTTAGCACAAGCAGAAGTGGCTTAATTCGCGCCAAGTTATTCTTAGGGCGAAGGGTCAATAGTTACAGTTGTTATTGAAGTGTAGCATTTGTTGAGTAGCAACTAGACATCCCATCAGATCTGATGAGATGTGGTTTCAGTTTAAGCTTACTAAAATGCATAGTTCAAGGATTAAAGAATGGACGATAATATGCAAATGAATTAAGACCGGTTGTTTTGTATATCATGGTGACAGTGCATTAATTCATCTGACAACTCGAGAGTGACAATAATCTAGACTCGTTTTCTTATAATGACAGAGCTATATTTATATAAGATGTAATACTTTTGATACTTTTTACAAGTTTATATTGATTATGCATTAATACACATGCCTGCCACACTTCCAAATAATTATTGCAAAGGGCAGCTGTTATGCTGTTTAAATAATTTTGCAAACATGATTCCAAATTGTTTTAGGATAATTTTGAGCTGTAAGATTGTCTTATTCATTCCTGTACAACCATGTGGAATGAAACACACAAAGAGATGCTGGAATTAAATGGTACATAGTTGCTGAGTCCTTTGTTTTTAAACCTAAGACTCTGCAGACATTCTGGCCTGGGTTGCTCGAAGCATGGTTAGTGCTAACCAGCATTAAATACCATGGAAACCTATACATTTTGATACCTCTTAACCAACGGTTAGCGCTAACCAGGCTTCAAGCAACCGGCCCCTGAACTTTAAAGGCCGATTTAGACGGAATGATTCTTACTTATGACTATCTCGCGCTACTAGCATGTGTCATGACTTCACGACAGATCCTGTCGAAAAGTTGTTCACGTGTGGAATGCTCAAAAGTCATGACATATGCTAGTCATGTACAATAGTGGTATGCAAAAATCGTACCATCTAAATCGGCCTCAAGATGGAAAGAAACATGCAATACTGAGACTGGAAGACTAATGAACACTTGATCAAAATTCTCCAAGAAGCCCAATTTTCAAGGTACCATCACCTGTACAAGACATACATGTCATCAGTCCACATTCAAGACATGTTCATGATCTCAGATCTTGGGATGTTTTGGGTTTTAACACTTATAATTTTGCTTTTGCACTACAGTTTCCTATAACATTTGTCCACAAAATATATTTTTTTTCCTCGCTGTCTCTTTTGACCTGTAGGGAGAAAACTAGCTGTGGACAATCCTGTACTGGATGGTACAGTACTTAGCGACAGGATTCTGATTGGCTTTGATTCCCTGGCAAATTCTTCATAACCAGCGTGCGCTGAATGAATGAAATGAAATCTAAAATTGCTACTACAATATATGTCATTTAACTAGTATATAACTGCAAGTAGCCTTGAATAGGAAATCATTGCTGTTGATAGAGCGATTTTTGTATGAAATGAAAACGCATGAACAAAACAGAAACAACAGACGAACAGAAATAGAGCGATTTGATTGGTTTATCGAACAGATACAAACGCATGTGGATTTTGGTTGGTTAAGCAAACGCTTGGGTGGAAAACTTCATGCCCGAGAACTTTCTGGAAATCAACCAATACTTCGCTTTGACGTCATACTGCAACACCATTGGCCAATCGAACAATGCCTTCTCCATATTGGGGTTTTCTTTGGCGGGAAAACGAACAGGCCATTTTTTATCTTTTCATCCATTGGCTGATAAAACAAATAACGAACACTTACTGAAACCATTTTTCAAGGTCATACAAAAATCGTTCTAATATCTTCTTTTCAGACTGAGCCTGAACTTCAAGAGTTAATCAGAGAAGTAGAAGAGAACCCAGCCCCTCCAGATGCTCCACAGCCACCCACTCCTAAGACTGGAGACACGGAGGGTGGTAAGGAAATAACTGACTTTACAGTTGTATGCTAAGCAACCTACAATTGGCGACAAAATTACCATATTTCCTCGGATAATAGCCAGGAGCAATTATTTGAGGGAAGGCAATTATTTCAAATATTGCTCACTGGAAGCTGTGCCGTTAATATTTGTGCCATTATTCCATTAAATCAAAAAATTATCGCATCTAATAAACTGAACATGGGCTTTTTAAGTGTTCCTAATTTGGTTCCTTGATTAATTTTCAGAGCTTGAATGGTTACTGATCAGTTTTGTTGGATCAGATTCCACTTCAACTTGACAGGGAGAGGATAAAAGAAAGAGAAGAAGGGGAGGGGCGTGGGGGGGGGGGCAATTATTTGGGGGTGGTGGTTATTTTAAATTTTTCTAGCAAAGGGTGGCGAGTGGTGGGGGGGGTGTCGTGTGGGGCGATTGATTGATAGACAAGTCTTATTCGATGAAACATGGGAAGTTTGTATGTGTGGTTGGTGGGGTATAGAAGGTTATGTGTCTGTTTGTGTGGATAAGATTCCACTGCAAGTTGGGAGGGAGGGGAAAAAAGGAGGAGAGGAGGGGGGGGGGGGTGGGGGGGGGTGAATTATTTGAGGGAGGTGGTTATTTTAAATATTTCTATCAAAGGGGGGCGATTCTTGGGGGGCGATTCTTGGGAGGCGATTAATTGAGAGACAGTCATTATTCGAGGAAACATGGTAGTTGAGACACTTTGCCCTAAAGGGCTTTTTCTGACATTTTGCCCACTTCAAAAGGGATAATGAGGCTTTTCCTTCCCCTCACCTCCATGCAATGTTAGGCTGCTTTTTAAACTCACTCGTAGGAATGAACAAACACGTTGAATGGAGGAGAGGGACAGGTTTGTTTTGTTCTCCAAATTATTTACATACCCCATTTGAGGACAGCATCTCAACAATTTAGTGACCAATAATTGTGGCAGAAAGGCTGGTGGTGACTTTGTTTTGAATAAAACTTAGTGCCATTTATATGCATTAGGGCTCGAAATAATTTTTTTGGATAACTACATGTAACTCTTTGGGTTAGTGGCCATAAATTTTACTAACCAAATTATAAAGTTTAATATCCAATAATCTGTTCTTGAAATAACAATATTTTAACTATTGAAAATAGTGCTAATTATATATGGGGCAAGCTGATGTATGGATGGATTGGTTCAAATTGTATGATGATCTGTAAAAAGAAGTACAGATGGTTTAATGCTTATTTACATTTTCCTTTCAATTGCGTTACCCGAGGGTGGGAAATTCGTCATAAGTACTGCAAAATGTTGTTTGTTTAGACTCACGGAACTGCAGCCAGGTGAATGCCTTTTTTCAATTCTGGGCAGAAAGTTCTTCCTTTATTCTTCATGCCCCCTGCGTGAGCCTTGTGTAGTGTTTGAATCTGTACTTCTTCTCTGTTATTTTTCTCCATCTTCCATGTCCTCTACTCAAATTTTGGGTGGCAACCTTTTTACTGAAAAAAAGTATGAAAGAAAAAAGTATGCATCTGATCAGTATAATAAATAGGCTGTATAAATGGGCCACTTGCGAAAGAAAACGAAACAAACGCAGAAACAAGCAAAATGGATCTCCCCATCCAACAAAAGCCTGGTTACCAAGAGTTCTGTGAAATGCGCGTTTTTTGAGTTGTTCGATTATGATGTAACCGTATCTTTTAGAACAATAAATTGTTTGAGATAGAACACAATCTTATGCAAAAATTGAGGAATACATTTAAGAAGATTTTTCTATGACAGAAATTTTTAATAACCATTTTGGGTTACTAAGGTTCATTTTTAGAAACCAAACATTGGAAACTACTAACCATTGGTTAATGGGCTACCATTAATTCCGAGCCTTTTGCATGAATTTTTGTTTGTACGAAAGTGAGTTTTCTATGAAAACAAGGTCATCTTTAGCCTTCCCCCTATCCTGGGCCAGGATCCTGACAGTATACAACTGTTAATGGTCTTTTCAAGTCAAGGGAGGGACTATATAAGTGACAGATTGATCATTGATGTATATATTGCTAAACAACTCATAAATGTGTGGCTTTTTTGCCAGATTAAGCCTGGATGTGTCCTTGCACTTTTTCCAGCACCTGTATACTGTACTAAAATATAACAATATTTTGGGTTACAAGGATCACTGTTTTTGTGTGTAAAAAGTTTAACTGATTAAATTAAACTTTTATTTCAGGTAAGGAGGTTGAAGAGATAGACTTTACTTGTGAGTTGGATGAATATGCCCAGTTTGTCAAAGACTTCAAAGCAAGCGGACTGATAAAAGATCACCGTAAAGGACTGATACGTAATTATAAGAACTCCTTTGTTGGCAAGGAGGCAGTGGATTGGCTTATATTGACAAAGAAAGTAGGCAAGTCTATGTTACACTGTGTCTTGCATTTGCCATTCTGTTGATCTTTTCCAAGAGTGTCTGAAACAGATATTGTGGGAAAATTTGACTCGAAGTTTATTCTTTTTTCAGATAGAGAAAAAGCCGTAGAAATGTGTCGTCAACTTGTTGAGCGCAACTTTGGACATAGCTTGGAAAAAGGAAAGCAGACTGAGTTTAGGGATGATGACAGCATTTATCGTCTTCTTGAGGATGACGAATCCACTGCTCTTAATTCTGGGATGAGCTCTGACTGTGAACCCCGACCCGCCCCTCAAGTGGCTGAGGAGCTGCGACGTTTAATTTTAGGCCTGTACAATCAGTTCTTGTCGAAAGATGGAAAGGTGAAAGTTATGTTTTATGATTAATAGGGAGCTTAAGCAACAACGATGGCGACGGCTACAAAAACGTCGCTTAAAAAGTGAATTCGCACCGCTTCAAACTTTATCGCGCTTTTTCGATCTCGTGTACTTCGTCAAGTGTTGGCAAATGTTTTTGGAATTGAATTCTAAAGGACTGTATCAGAGTTCAGGAAAAGAAAAGAAAGTTGTTGTCTTGTGTTCCCGTCCTCGACAAAACGTGAATTCAGGCATTTTCACGTTGTAGTCGGGCAACGACGGCAAAGAAATGTACAAAAAAAGTGTGATGCACGTGCAAAGTTGTTGTTTTGTTAATCAAACCTATTGCCTTTTTGCCGTTCTCGTTGCCGTCCACGTCGTCGTTGCTTAAGCTCCCTATTATACCACGGCGGCGGCCCTTATTCGGGGGCAGTGCTTATTGACTTTTTCTCCTAAATGCAGCGCTGAGTCGAGGGCGGCGCTTATTCAAGTTGCAACTATTATTATGCTTATTGCAACATTTTTTTGTTGTTGATCAATACAGGGTGTAGACTATAATGGCATGGCGCAGAGTAACGAATTTGGGGCATACATAAAGCACACAGCCGAACTGCAACGTGTGAAACTAGAGGGAATGACAAGAGAGGAGACACTTGCTTTTTTCATTAACATCTACAATGCTCTGGTTATCCATGCTAATGTAGTAAGAGGACCCCCTGTTAATTTGTGGCAGCGATATAAGGTCAGGATACAAATAATTATTACCAATTACTGGATAAGGTTGAGTGTGATCTGAAAAATTATGCAGATCAAGGAGGGTGTTCGGCAGTCTTTCGGCCTTGGGGGATAACACCCTTCGAAATCCCCATAATTCTTCATATCATACGAAAGCCGAATGCAATAATTGTTTTATTATTTATTCAAAGTATTTCGTAGTTTAAAACAAGCGGAAACATGCTCTCTTCAATCGACGTTAAGTTCCCGTCGCCTATGCGCCTACGGAGTCGCAGTACATGATAGAAAGGGACGTTTAGTTCTGCGAATATTCTCCCAATAGCAGATGTCATCCGTCTAGTCGTATTTTTGCCTGTTCTTGCTAATATGTTTTTAGGCAGTAGTTTCGCCTAACGTGTGAAATGTTCCTCCATTTTGTCTTGCTCTACCAAAACAACGTAACTTCGTCCAGAGGGCCTCTCGGTGTCCGTCCATTTTCCTGGCGACTATTCTGTAATATTGACGTCATTTTACGGATATTGCAAAGTGAGACTTCTTTCATATTTCGTCAACGCTTGCTGGTTATGAAAAATCAGCTGTGGGATTTGAGCCAATCGGAAACGAAGGAATAATTTTAATTAATAATGTTGCTAATGACTGCCATGGGTTGTTAGTACAAACTGTAAGCAATAAAATAAGAAGACAAAGAATACCCGCGGACTTTTTTAAAAAGATTTTAATTCGACTAAAATTCTTTTCACGCTCCGCACACTTTCGGCGCAGTTCTAACGTCGCATTTCACCTGTACCGAATTAAATGCTAATGAAGAAAATCTACTGTTCTCGCTCATTTGCATTAGATTCGGCACACGTACCGCGTGAAATGCAACGTTTGAAGCGGGTCTTATACGACTCGACTGAGACGGCAGGGATAGCACCATGACTTAAAAGATGAATTGATGCTGTTTCATACTTCATCGTGATTACTCATTTTTGTTCAATTTGTCAAATGTTGGCGAAATATTTTCTGCAGTTGAATTGTTAAGGACACGATTTCGACATTATCCATGTTCAGAGAAAAATAAAAGAAAAAAGAAACCATTGTCCCAAGTTAACGCTCTCAATAAAAGTGAAATCAGGCAATTTAAGGTCAATAAACATTTATTTCGTGCACCGGACACAAATGACGTAAAACAGTAGAGCAAAAACTATGAAACAAAACCAAGTAGATTTTTCCCTGAACAGAAAACAAAGAAGTCTTTTGTTTTACGGTATCTGTGTCCAGTACACGAACTTTTTACCAAAGAAACTGCCTCCTCCTCGGCCTCAGGCGCATCGTTTTCGTACTTTGTTCGCTAACGATCGACGAAGGCGAGCGCAAATGCCTGGTGACGAAGCGCAAGGGACCACGGTAAGGAAAAAGAAGACTCGCCCGTTTTCTCCTTCTCACTTTCCTTTGCGCGCAACTTTACATCGAGAAACAGACGTCTGGGAACGAGGCAGGCGAAGAAATTTACCAAAAGTGTGATACAAATGCAAAGTTGTGGTTGCGCTTATTAAACCTAATACTATTTTGACGTTCCGGTTGACATCGCCGTTGCTTCACTGTCGCTTTCACTATACGCTCATTCATGAGTTGGTTTCTTAAAGCCCTTTGATTACTCATGTACTTTAACACTTACTGTGTTTTTTCAATGGCCATTTAACCGCTATTTACGTTAAATACTTTTGCAGTTTTTCAATACCATATCCTACGTTATTGGTGGTCACTCGTTTGCCCTCAACGAGATTGAAAATGGAGTTCTTCGTTCTAACCGTAAGGCCATTGGGGCTGTGACTAAACCTTTTTCAAAGAACGACCCCAGATTAAAGATAGCCTTACCGGAAGCTGAGCCCAAGATCCATTTTGCCCTTGTTTGCGGTGCCAAAAGCTGTCCCCCGATCAAGACCTACACCTCTGCGGTAAGTCTTCACCTGCTTAGCGGAGACTTTGTCGCCCACGTGTGCTGTTGCTTGCGAAGGTAAACAGGGGCTGTACAGGTCGTGCACTTCTATTTTCAAAGGGCTGGACAATCTGTAAAGAAAAAAGTATCACACTTCACCTACGGTGAACAGGCTACAGTGACCATACCTTAGGAACCATGTGTTCTCGGAACAGGCAACCCATCCTAAAGTATTTCGAATGATTATATAAGGGCATGTTTGCTTTTTTATTGTTATGGGACAGTGGGTGATTGGTTGAAAACATATTACTTATTGGTTTCTTAATCATTCGGAAGGATAGTCTTAAGTTGAAAATGCGCACGTCTTTTTCCCCGCTTGCTGGCGTTGCTTCCATATATTTGCTCGGTTCTGATTGGATCATTGATTCCCTGGGCCCAAACTCAACATAAAACTGTTATACAGTCCAAGTACTAGACAAGTAAATGGATACTTTTCCTTTTTCTGATGTGCATAGGGGATTGACGAGGAGCTGTCCCTCGCAGCTGAGGCATTTTTGGAAGGAGAGGATGGTTGTGTCCTTAACATGCCGAAAAGAGAGGTATCATATTGTCACCTTTATTTTCCTCTTTTGCTTAAATACTATAAACTTGATGAAGGAGTTATTAGGATTTTTAAAAATGCCAGAGCCATCGACATCGTCTGTAAAGAAGTGCAAAGTGATTTAAACGAAAGCAGTCGATTTGTCACGAAATTGCAAAATCGCGCGGAAAATAGAAGAGTAACAAACTTTAATAATTTTGCTAATTTTAGTTCCCCTCTACACGTATCTAGATATTTTTGGAAACAAGGATTTTTTTTCAGCGTTTTAGCTTTCCGTCCAGACGTAAACGGCGTTTTTGGGAGCCAAAAACGCGGGTTTTCAAAAGCGTTCCCCAAAGTGGACGTTTGTGAATACGATGATGTCATGGTATGCGGCACCTCGCCACCAAATTGAATGAAATCGTTACCAAGAAATATATATCTTAATACATGTACTTATCGAAAAGACAAGTCTCTAAAAAAGAATTCTTTCACTTTGAATTTACAATGAAATTTAAGAAGGTAAGTTCAAGTGACAATGTCAACCAACTTTCATAAGAAAGGCTGTTGGATTTTAAACAAATGGCACCTCTCTAGCGATGCAAATAAGTTTTGAAGTTCGACACAAGGTGTCAATTAAAATGGATAAACTTATATTTGGGCTTGAGGAAGAAGTAACAATCCCAGGTAAGTAAACAGTGTATATAATTACAGAGTCATTATATGGTGTTTCGTAAGAAAGGTTGTTGGATTTTAAACAAATGAAACCCCTCGAGCGATGCAATTAAGTTCGAAGTTCGACGCAAGGTGTCAATTAAAATCGATAAACTTATATCAAGGGTACCCAACGTCAATTTTCGGAAAATATCTGTTCGGAAGATGATTTCAGATCCAGAATTTTGGGAACATTTGTTGTAAAATTTCTTGCTTGCCTGCCTCTCCTAGGATTTTCAAACATCTAAAAAGTGGTATAATTGCCCATTTTTAACGAATTTTACCCTAAAAAGGTCACCTAGAATTTTGGGAACCTTTTTTCTGGCTGAAATTTTCGAAAAGTAAATTTTGATCCCTATTATTTTCGGATCACTAGACTTTCAGCTAGGAAATCCGAACAGATGAAAAATATTTTGGGGATAAAAATATGCCTATATCCACTGTTTAAATACTGAAATACGTTTAACAATGCTATGTTTAAGTGGTTTTGAACTATATTCTCGTTGGGTGCCCCTGTTATATTTGGGCTTGAGGAAGAAGTAACAATTCCAGGTAAGTAAACAGTGTCAATACTTGTAGAGTTATTATGTGGGTGCGAGTAGACTTCTTGGTAGCGATTTTGTTGGTGGCGAGATGACCGTAAACCGATGTTATATATCATATACTACTAGCATTAAGCATGCCTTGAAAGGGACGTAATATTTCCATCGTTAAAGGCTTTCATGTGGACGGGCGGAAACGATTCAAATACGCTATGTGTGGACGTGTAGTTTTTAAAAAACGGAAAAAAAAATACTGTATCTGTTTTCAAGAATATTCTGATACGTGTGGACAGGGCGTTATAGTCTTCACTGAAATTGGATTATAGAATATAGGAGTACATACGTGTGTTTGGTGAGGATGTCCGACGAAGTATTCTTGACTTGGGCAGTTGTTGTCATATGGAGCGAATTATGGAATCGACGAAAGAATGAACACATGTTTATGGCCGGAAAGAACAATGTTTTATCTGTGCATGTGAGCGTTTTGAATTATTCAAATGTCGTTTTATCCTATAGATTCGCCTAAGCAAGATCTTTCAGTGGTACAAGATTGATTTTGGGTCAAACAACGAAGAGGTATCAACTTTTAGCCGCTGCACACAACGGCGGCACATTTTCTTTTAATTCCATCTCGAAGCTGCTTTCAACTTTGCTCGATCATTATCTAATTTACGGCGAATTAAGTCTAAATGAGTCAGTGCGTCGTGGGTCAAGTAAAAAAGAATCCCTTAACTAAAATAAAAACTAACCATTTTGAATCAGTTATCACTATAGTCAGTGCTTAACCCTTATCACTATTTTCAGTGTTAAGATCTGACTTCACTTATAGCTTGACTCATAACTCATTGACCCATTTGACTCATAAAACAGGCTTTGTCCCAATTTACGTGTTACTGAAGATGTAATTTTCAAATCTTAGGCTAGCTGACGCGAATAGTCAACACATTGTAAAAGACTCGAAGTGAGATTTGTAAAGAGTGAAAAGGGAAGATGGCGTCTCGTCCTATTCATCGCTAGAATTTAATACTTTAAGGTTGAGTTGATACGGTCGGAATCATCCACCTGATGATTAGAGCGCTTAGCCTCCGATTGATAACTGTCCTTTACATGGTCCGCTGAAAACTGTATCGAAACACCAGAAGTGTGTTGAAGCCTATTTCCCTTTCATCGATGCCACCATTGGCAACCAAACCTTTAGTCATTATAG